TCTCAGCCATGGATTCGAATGATGTGACCTCATGATCGCTTTTGCCTAGTGGTGAGAGGAAAGCTATTTGACCAACGTCATCAGCTGTGTGAAGACCAAATCCAAAAGAGAAGAGGTGCTTCTTAAGTCATATCTTATGAGATCTAATGCGTTGGAATAAAGCTAATGCAATCAAGGTATATAACGGTTTGTAATCGAATGACCTTATCACGGACCGTACTTCTAGGTTAATCCAGTTTATATACGTTGCATTAAAGTCGCCTACTATAAGGTTTTTATCCCTATTACATCAGAACTTAGTTTTGCTTAGGAGGAGGTCATCTACTACACATTCTGGGATGCGATATATCACAAATAATTCAATGTCTTTCCGTCTATATTTTAGCTTGCAACACACCAGTTCACATGTCCCTGAATCATGTGCCACTGTCTCAAATTCCCGTATGGTTAAAGTACTTCTCGTGTATGTGATAACCCTCCCTACTAAATAAGAAACAAGTCAACTGAATTTCATTACCGAACACTCCTGACATTACCCATGTTTCTGAGACGGCAATAAAATCCGGTTTTACCTCATCCACCATTGTCTTGAGCTCCGCCAGTTTACTACGTATGCACATCTTTAATTCTGTCGAGAACTTTTCCTTACCACCTATAGTGGTTTGGGGGTCATTTTGCTCCGAATTGTTACAATCTGAAAAACTCTTAAGAACGAAGTTTCTTCTACCGTTTCGGCGGCGTTCATTTATTTCCACTTCTGCAGCCCGTCTCTTAATATCATCAACCAGGCTGAGATCCTAACGGACGTAAATTCAGGTTGTTTCACATAAATATAAATCATGAGTCTACTCCTAGTGTGTTGCAGAGCAAAAATCAGTGCCTGCCATAGATGCTATTGTGGAAAATCTATCCGAGTAGCACCTGAATAATGTGTTCTCGAATTCTTTGAGGTGCCGCATATCTCAAATGAAAAAGCCCCTTTCACTACGTTTCGGAGCCCAAAAGCAACTTGCTAAACTTATCCAGAGTGAACTTAGACTTTTTGCAGTCCACAACATGAAACCTAGGGAACCACTACTCAAATGTGTCCCGATGCCTTAGTGTCTTTCCAGCATTCCTCAAGGTCACAGCTCATGCCAAGCGCACTTGTTCAAAACGAGTGTTTTCGTACATTAAACGGCGAACAGAGCGTAATGATGATATTTTCCCGTTGATGTCACAAGAAAATTCAGGTTCACTAGCTGAATCAGATCTGGCAAAAGCCGAGACTTTTTCAGACTATTTAAGCGAAGCCTACTCTAGTGTATTGTTAGAAATACTTGTCCAAAGCACATCGAGATACTAGCCATAGGATCTGTACATGTGACTGACGTAATTCTTCTTCAACTGACCACTAACCTTAAACCTTGTAAGATACCGAGCACTGATGAGTTACATCCACGACTGTTGTCATTTCTTGCGGACATTATTGCAAGATTGCTCGTGACGCTCTTCAACATGTCCCCTTCACCCGTTTGGGATTGTAAAGACGCTACAGTCAGTTCTATATTTAAGGATGGTCAGGGACAGACTGTGCTTAACTACCAACCTGTCAGTTTAAGCAGCATAGTCGTTAAGCTACTTGAAAGATATCTCGGGCTAAGTTACTAAGTCACATAGATTAGTACAGTCTGTTAACTCCCGAGTAACATGGGTTTCGCAACAAGCGTTCATGCTTGACTAACTTATTACGAGTGAGGGTTGGGCAGTAGCTCTAGATAATGGTCTGTCTGTTGATGTGATATTCAGAGACTGTAGCAAAGCGTTTGACAAGGTTTCACATTTAGGTATTGTGAAGAAGCTCTTGAGCTCTTAGGCTCCCTACTTTTCCTTCTCCATGTTAATGGCTTACCGCCATTGCCTAAGTCGTCGATATTATTGTTTGCGGATGATGCCAAAATTGGAAGAACAATAAGTAGTGAGGCTGGTTGTCTTGATCTCCGAGCTGGCCTAGATGAATTCGTTAGATAGTCTCAATGTGTGCCAATGCACGTTGGACACGGTAAATTGCCGGCACACTACCGATGGTACATCTCTCCCATGCAGGAGCACATACTTGGGGGTAAAAATAAGTCACAACTCAGAAGCAACGCGTTTTTTAGCGAGTTAACTTTCTACAGGATTGGTTCGCTAACCCCATGCCCAACCCTTCTCCCTTGTCCGGGCTCGGGACCGCCAATAGCTACATAGGGGCTCCAAGTGGATGTCAAAAGCAAGGCAGTGGCCGTCAAAGGTTTTCAAGTGTTATGGTCACTTCACCAAGCACTCAAGTGCTTTGATGAAGTGTTTCGGATTTCGTATCTCACCTGTGTAGGATCACATATAGAGCACATTGTCCAAGTGGCCAGTCTATGTTCTGTTCAGGAAACTAACACATCTGAGTGTGTGTGAAAGAACTTAGTGATGGGTTTCTCTACACTCACAATGAGCGTTTAAAACACCCGAATCTCTTCCCTTTGTCATATAGTAGAACGCGAGGTGAACTTATACTGGGATTTCGTATCTTTAGTTACGATATAGGTGTTGATAAGTTTTATCTTTTTGCTCCCCTTAGAATTAATCATCTTCGAGGCCACAGAAAGAAGGTTCAAAAATTGCTATCTCATCAATTGAAAATGGGATTCCGTTTTTCTCATCGGGTAGTCGATGACTGGAATGCTTTGCCCGAACAAGTAGCATCCCTATCAGTGGACATTTCCAGGAAGATGCTCGACTCTCACTGGAAGACAGTCTGTCAAGATTAACACTGGTTCATCAACATCCTATGATTATTACTGCAGACTGAAAATCTGCAGTTTCATATTGTGAGTTATTGGTCATGTCTGTCGCGATGGTGACTACCTAGGTAGTCAGATGCTTTGTCAAAATCATATTTTTACTTCTTAAACTGAATGGCATGCACAGAAATTCGTAGTGTTTGTATAGTTAAGAATTGCACCTGTAAATAGTTACTTCCTACAGATTATGGTATTGTAGGAGGTCTACAGCGAAGGCCGGGGTGGAAACATCTGGAACGACGAAAACACAGTAAAGGGGTTTGCGTACACACGCTAAGATAACCATATTTCTAACCGTATATGGCGTCCAGTTTTTTTAGTTTCCACCTGTAACCTGAAGAACGGTTCTGGCAGACGGTGATTAGTATTCGTAGGAACATCACTTACTTTTACGTCGGTGACGACAAAATAGAGGAATTTCGTCACCACATCAGTAACATATCACAGATGGCTATGTCCACCGGTTACGACTACCATTAACGAGAGGTGGTTGGTGAAGGATAGTTTCGAGTTCAGAAAACTGCAGAGTTCATTACAATGATCTGCAATTTCATTTTATGTCATTTGAGACTTTTCTTCGGCAGAATATACCTCAATGCATTCGGTCTAGTGATCTTCAGAATCCAACCTGTAGTTGCAGCCGGTATGCCTACAGTGATATTATGAAGTAAGACGTGAACCGCCTGCACTTATTGGTCAATATTGGGTAAGAAGGGTCGTCTAAAGAAGCTCAAATCGAAAGCGCGTTGACCAGTGACCTCCTGCGTGTGTACCAACACTTCTGTTGCTGATTCGTGTTGCTATCTCGCTTCAATAAATTCTTCGTCGATTTTCGTCTCTTTCAGTTCTCCTAGAAGACACGTAAAACGAAAGTGTAAATGCAAGCGGAAACGCAGTCATACTTGAGTGAGAATAGAAAAACGCGGAATAAACCTGTTACATACGCGCATACGTAACATGAGGTAGCGTGAAAAAGTCTGACACATTAAAGATTTTTTGGATTTTTAGAAAGGCAATATGCATATATATTTAAACATATTAGAAAAAAAGATTTAGGAAAAATAAAACCTGAAAACTAAGGAACACAAAAACGGCGAGGTGAAACAAAAGGATACGCGATGTCCTACTTACAGTAGTCATTTAGGTATTTATGAAACTTTAACGATCTCCACACAAGGTAAGCTGGTGTTTTATCACTTATTAATTTGCTGATATTTAGGAATGCAGCTATTTGTATCTTATAAGCCTTATACACAGATTAAAGACAAATATATTCTAGCCGCCACAAGCACCTAAAAATTATTTCAAACCTGAGTGCCCGACAGTAGAGATCATCAGCTAAAGATCATATCCAAACCTAATGAATAGTCAGCACAGCACACATATATGGTCAACAGTGGAAAACACTTATCCACAATATTGGGTAACGGTGAGCTTGTCTGTGATATCAACATCATTCTTCTCAATTCATATTCTTTTCAGAAAAGTAGTAATCTGTTGTGAAGCGAGAATGTGTGTGTGTGTGTGTTTGTGTATGTAGGTGGATGTCAGTCACATAATCACACGCACAATTACAAGGTGACATTCTTCAGTCTTCTAAATACTAACATTCATATTACACTCACTACACAATAGAGAATGCCACATTATGTTGATATTGATTAATTAGGTGGAATATGGTGATGGATGACGTGATAGAACGTATAATCATTGCTATTTCTACATTGAACTGAGGTCAACTGATAGATAATACAAATCACACCATCACATAATCTACTCAATTGTTGTTTATTGATTAGTAGTAGTAGTAGTAGTAGTAGTTTTCATGCGAAAACGTGTAGTTCACTAGTAGTATTCAAATAGATGTAACGATTCTGTGTATCATTTCTCCATCTACTTACATTTACACAAATAGAACTCACCACAAATCCCCATATACGAATGACAAAAGCAAAGAATATTGTAATAGAAACTCTTCTCGATTACTTCGTCATCACACACACACACACACTGTACAGTGACAAGTTCAAAGTGATTGTGTTACAAAGGCCAAGATACACGATCCTCATCAATTACACAATGTTGTGTTGGAAATGGATAAGCTTGCGAGGGAGGTGATTCAAAAGCGATTGAAGTGATTTAGTGTAAAGTGTAAGGTGTCCTGTTAGAATCAATATCAATAAAATGATCACAATCAGTCGGAAGATTCGAATAAAATGCGTCATCGGTGTGATCAATTTGATTGATGCGGTGAACAACATTCATAATGATAATAATAATAATAATAACAATAATAATAATACAAATACCAATGGTACGGATAGTAAGAATGATCATAGAGCAGAAACGTGATGGAAATGTTGACGAGTTGAGAGTGTGTATTATTGTGAATATCAGTGTTTGGATTTTCATCCATCTGGAATGTAGTAGCTGTCAAATTACAGGAATGCACTTGTAAGAGGAAATATTTTATGTGTGTTGAGGTGAATCGGTATGGATTGTGATATGCTTTTATCAGGACACTATGTGGCAATAATTATCTTGGAAAATAAACGGTAGTCACTGGAAGGCAACACGAAAATACAACTTCATCACATGACAATACATCGACGTGCACAATCCTCACAAATGTTCAACATCACATTTCAATTGAGCAGACGTAGACACTTCACTGACAGTGTGTCGCTTCAATGCTTAATATGTGAAAGTCTAGTAAAACCCTTCACCGAATCACTGTATCATACAAATTTCAATTAGATTGAGTGAGATGAGATGACGGTGTTTTGTTCATTTCAACCATTTCAGATACAGTTCACCATCTACATGATCGATTCATACTGCTCTGTTCGGTCATCGTCTGCCTTACCGAGTTATTCGAATGTCAAAATATTTGAGAACAACTGGATTTAGAGAAGAAAGAAGGAGTGTTTCTCGAGAGTGATGCATACGAATATTAGAGTAACCAGTCAAATGCCAATACACATATTCAGTCTCATCATTATCACTATTCACATATATTCCGTATTGATCTCTCCTATGCGGTTAGAACTGGAAGATGTATTGAAGGTGATTGGTCTCTCGTGACGTGGATACACGTTGCAACAGATTCAGTCATGCAAATGTGTGCATGATTCCAGTTGCAAAATTTCGGATTTGATTTCACTACACAAACACATTTGATATAAATCGAATCATTTTAGAATTGAGTGGAGAATCAACGTGGCACATTCAAGGTGTGAGACAACTCAACACCTGCTACCACAACATCTCAATTGTGATCAGCAGGTGATTCATTTAACACATATTTCTCACATCGATTAACAGTGAATGGATTGTGAGTATATATAACGTTTGAATTGGAACCATCAGAACTATAGTAGGACTTGAACCGACTGAGAACTTGTGCTTCATATTGACTAAGGTTTGCACTGGAAACAAATACATTGTGAAGACAAGCAACATCATATCTGTCATCACAATTTCATTCATATGAAATATTGTTGAAGCATGTGTCCCTTCAATGCACCGATCATCATTCAGCGAGATTCAAAAATAAATGTAATGACATTCAAATGAATGGATCGGTACTGAATGAGACTGATGGCAATAATCACCATACTAAATCTTATGTGTGTTTTACCTTCTCTGACTCCATAGACTTCCCTTCCACTCTTTCATGTATTGACTCGTACTACTTATTGTTATCATTCAGTAGACAGTATATTCCTAACAAATCGCAAGTCTTGTTTTAACGCAAATTTATCGTGTAATCATCGCAAATATTTACGTACATTTATAACACCTATTGTATTTAGCATTATAATCACTTCCCTTCAATCATTGTAACGGTCATTCCTAATTCTGTGTGATCGTTTGATCCTTGTTTGAATGCAACGAATTCCATATTATTTACTCTTCAATCGGTTTGTGCTCGTCAATTGATAAACTGTTACAAAGTTTAGACACAGATAACAGCTGTCATTTACACTGTCGTATGTTGTAATTATTCTTTATTTTACCACTGTATGGAGCTCTTTGTAGTTCACACTCACAGACGAGGTAATCGCCACAGATACTTGACAAGTTGAGGTTCGTAACTGACTTGCTGTGCTGTGAACTTCGATTGAGCGCGTATCTCAATTATGTGAACTAGATGCTTTCATAGATTCACAAATCAAAATAATTCACTGTCGTTTTCAACTTCTCCTTTTCCTTCTTTAACGGTTTTCCTGGTAGAACTCTTATCGTGTATGGAATATTGACATCAATATCAAGCAGTCTAATACACATATGAATCATCATCATCATCATCATCAATTTGAGAAACAAGTAAAAATCAATTCGAGTTTTCCATTCCATTCTACTGTAGCAGTAATGAAAGTAATGAGTTTAGCTTAGAACTGTTGACAATATTCAAGTCTCTTTATTCGAACTGAAACGAGAATGTAGAAAGAGATGTGAATTAGATCTTAAACTTTACTTGGTTTCATTCCTCACGTTGATCATATGATCGAATTGGTTAATAAGTATACTTCTAAATTGTGCTGAATGCTTTGTCACTATGTGATGACAAACTTTCCGAAGTTCGCGACATATATAACTGACCACAAGAGAATAGCAGAACACTGTCCGTCTAGGTTGAGAAAAGGATAAGTGAGCGTGATGAAGAGTTCTATGCTCGCTCACTCGATGAATACAGGTCATCAAGTAGAATGTATTAAATATTTTAAGGTTATCCACCATATTCCACCAAATTTGCCGCATGGAGACCCTAACAAGCTCAGAAAGAGCCGAACATATTACACACAATCATCGTTTTGAAGAATATTCAACAATCCCTACATTGAGCTTCCCTATTGGAATAATGCTAATAACCACGGTATGAGGATTGAAGGACGATAATGATGACTTCTCTTTTACCATAATTGCCACTGATTGGAATAGCATTCCTTTCACTTGTCTTCGGTCTTTTCATTCGCGACTTGCGGGTGTTCTAGCGTTAGAGTACTCAAGTCATACACGGTATATTAAGAATCTAAGCTCTAGATATAATACTTCCACTTTTGCACTTTCCGCAATCACAATATCCATTCCTTGATTCTTACATAACTACCACATTACTGACCTATCATCAAATGATTTTGTTAGTTCGTTATTTCTTTTCACATATATTTTGCAACATAGCAACTGTTTAGTTTTCGAATAATTCCTTTCATTATTAAAATCCTCCTCTTATTTCCAATTGCTTTCAGGATTTCTATGATGATCTAGCTTCAATCGACTCATGAATTCAATTCGATTTTCTCAATCTTCTATTGTCAGGTATTTCACTTCTGATTACTCGTTACATAATACTTATGTCGATAGATATAAGTAGCACACACCAATGTTACATCGTTGTAAATGTTTCACTCGACCATTAATGATTGTTACAACACTGTGAAATCTGATCGCATGGAAAGGTAACTATTCATCCTTGATTACTTTATTGTCGTTCACTAAACAGTATCAGTGGATAGTAACAAGAAGCATCAAGTTGAAAGAGATTTCCATCAAATTTGTTAACAATACTGTTATACCTTGAGGCCTATGTGCCTTCTTAATGTATAACGTAACGATACCACCAATTCGAGTGAAGTGACTTATCGATCAAAGCAGTGACGCGTGAAACCCGTGAGAGCAGTCTACAGTCGTGATGAGTTCTTCATTCTGCCTAGCCTTGGTCGTTGTGTCCACAACACCAATCTCAGTCTCTGCGATATGAATCATTTATTTCAGGCATACTGGGTTTATATAACAACAAGACAGACAGATAGACAGACAGACAGACAGAGTACATCGTACCATAAAATAGCAAACAACATTTATACAAGATTTAGCCAAATGAATCTGTGAATGAGGGAGATGGTAATCAATAGACTGGGCATAATTCAACAATGGTAAATCGTATACTAAATGTTCAGAGGTCAAAATAAAGCTTCTGATAAGGGGAACATGAATATGGATAGTTTAATTATTGAACAACTACACGATAAGATTATGCGCGTAGTATTGATCCATAAATGGATCCCAAAGATAATGACTGATGAAAATAATTAGTCAACTAAAATCACGATGGAATGAGTTTGTGGACGGATCATCTGTGTATCATGATCATAATTTTTACCTACCGGCACTATTCCAATTAATGTCGATGTCATTTCCGGTTGTTACAGCTTCAATTTACCCATTTCAAACACTTTCCTCTCGACTTACATTTACACAAACTCAACTGACCAGAAATACACATACCGTGATGTGGATTATGCGATCAGTATGATTGACCACACTCTCATATACAATATACATAGGACGTAATAACAAGTCGAGTCTAACACAATCAGCATTATTAACCGACGTTGCATAGATTGATCATACACTGATCATCTGAGGACGTGCAACCTAGGTGAATCCGTAGAGAGACCACCACCACCACCACTAAACTCATTTCGAAATTAGATGGTAATTGGTTACAGTTTTTATTCATAGTTGAAACAACACCGTCTATCAATCGATAAGCAACATGATTGTTCTCAATTCATGTTCTATTCAGAAAAGTAGTAATCTGTTGTGAAGTGAGAATTTCATTCACCTCTCTTCTGTGTGTTTGGGTGTTCGGAGTGTGTGTGTGTGTTTGTGTATGTAGATGATTGATAGTCACATAAACACACGCACAATTACAAGGTGACATTCTTCAGTTTTCTAAATACTAACATTCATATTACACTCACTACACAATAGAGAATGCCACATTATGTTGATATTGATTAATTAGGTGGAATATGGTGATGGATGACGTGATAGAACGTATAATCATTGCTATTTCTACATTGAACTGAGGTCAACTGATAGATAATACAAATCACACCATCACATAATCTACTCAATTGTTGTTTATTGATTAGTAGTAGTAGTAGTAGTAGTAGTAGTAGTAGTAGTAGTAGTAGTAGTAGTAGTAGTAGTAGTAGTAGTAGTAGTAGTAGTTTTCATGCGAAAACGTGTAGTTCACTAGTAGTATTCAAATAGATGTAACGATTCTGTGTATCATTTCTCCATCTACTTACATTTACACAAATAGAACTCACCACAAATCCCCATATACGAATGACAAAAGCAAAGAATATTGTAATAGAAACTCTTCTCGATTACTTCGTCATCACACACACACACACACTGTACAGTGACAAGTTCAAAGTGATTGTGTTACAAAGGCCAAGATACACGATCCTCATCAATTACACAATGTTGTGTTGGAAATGGATAAGCTTGCGAGGGAGGTGATTC